TATCGGGTCGCGTCTTAGTGCGTTCCTTTGCCTAGGTCATCCTTGGTTTAAGCTTACCAGATCGATCTACTTTGAGGACCTACCCGCTTGGCAATCCTTAAGCTTTCCACGTGTAGGCTCCAACCCAACCTCACGCCCAACGCGACTTCCTCGTCAGAGTGACGGTGGGCCTGGAAGCGCGCAAAAAGAGGTGTGCCAAGGATTTTAGGGAAATGGGGGTGGAGTCCCAGGTTGGAACTGAGATCTCCGGTGTCAAGTTTTAGGGATATGATGGCAAGTGGGTAGGCGAAGGACGAGATTCCGTTTTAGGCCTCGGGGAACGGGCCGGTTACCTCTGTTGGTCTCGTCATCTGGGGCGGATTCGTATTCTGTGTACCGTCAGGACGCTATGGTTGTCCCACCAATCATCGAAGGGTTTCCCATATCTCCGAATCGAACACGGTCGGACTCAACCGAAGACTGTGTTCTCGTTGTTCGGCTTCCGAGCAGGTTCGCCAGAAGAATTCCGATGCTTGTAGGCGTGGTCCCGCAGACACTCGAAACACGAGGGTTGCGGCCAGTAGGGGGCAAGTGCTTGCCAGCAATGGTCAGACAGTGGAAGGGCAATAGACGGTGATAGGGAGGGAACTCTGTTTCAATGATAGCAATGTCGGGTTCGGTGATGAATTGACACGTGTATGGGTTGGGACAGTCGGGGATAATGAGGGATACGTTCTAAGAGCCGCCAAATATCCCACTCGCAGATGCGTTCAGTTCTTGTTTCATACAGAAATTCCGGGAACTCTGTGCTCGATTGTGCAGAAAGGCATGTACGCTCCCTGTATTCCTGGAACTCGCGATCCCTCAGGCACTCACGTTCAGTGATCCAGAAGGGAATTTCGACATTCATGCTACTGGGTGGGGTGGGAGTCCATACATTCAGGATGCTCGGCCAACGGCCGGATCGGGGGCAGGTCTTGTAGACACGCGTATACACAACGACCTTCGGCGGCCAGGCGTACACGTGATTGCACACAATCTTCCTTCGATCAGGCAGAGGATTCTCAGAGCTTCCTGTACACGTGTATTGGCCAATCGGATCCCCCAAAGGTGTCGCTGGTGGGCTCTGTATGAAACAGGCATCTAATCAACCGGCATGCTCATCCATATTACAAGGGGGGGGAAAGACAAGAAAAGAACAAACACTCCTACATCAAAATCATCCAGTTGGCCAGAGAACATACATGGAACGAGTACAGGTAATTAATCAATCAAGTTGGCAACCAAGTGGAAGAAGGAAGGGGCGGGGAGAGGACAGACTTAATCATCCATCAATTTACAAAAAAAAAGGAAAGACCAAAGACAACTATGAACAAAAGATGGCTTGCGCTCGACACCAAAATTGCGCAGGAGAGTTGAAGAAAAAGTATCATTCCAACACTTCTCGTTCTCTCTCTCTCTCTCTCTCTCTCTCTCTCTCTCTCTCTCTCTCTCTCTCTCTCTCTCTCTCTCTCTC